AATCAGAAGATGATGAATATCAGGAGGATTCTGATTCTACATTTGTATCTTGAAGACGTGTAAATAGGTATAAAAATCGATCAAAACCCAACATAAATCCTCCTGATGACAATTTTGAACAAAGTGTTGATGAGCCTTCCGAATCTTCTAAATATACTACTGAAGAAGACAATATTTCAGGTAGTAGTAGTAATAGAAATGAATCGGATGATGGAGAATCAGATGATGATGAAGATTACGAAACATTTGAGAATTAAGCATCACCCGATTATAAGCCATTTCAGGACCTACCAGATCTAGGATCAACAATTGATAACCGAATTTTATGGATTTTGCTCTGGATTATGACATTTCAGACAAGATTCAACATAATGGATACAGCAACTGAGGCTTTGATAAATTTATGAAATTAGTCTTGACAGAAATTAGTGGAGATGATTTTAGAGACTTTCCAGATTCGATGTACTTAACAAGGAAAAAACTTAGATTAAAAGATCATTTTCATAGCTTCGTTTCTTATCCGAAATGTCATAAGCTGTATAAAAAAACAGGAAGTGATAAATTTTAGACAAGAAGATTCGCTTGCTATAATGAAGTGCCGATATGTAGAATTTCCTAATTCATCACTCCGTAAATCATGACTTTGCAATACAACTATATCTCAAACCATCGGTGTTTCGGCAAATCAAGTAGTAATTCAACCTAATTTAATATTTCCATTTTCTGAAATCAGACAACAACTTGCTTTGATATATCGTTGGCCTTGTTTTGAAAGTTATTTGAGACAATAGGCAAATCGTCGGCATTATGATAATATTAGGACTGATATATATGATGGTCAAGTATGGCAGATATTGAAAGAATCTTTTGAAGAAAATTCGCAAAATTTTTTAGAGATAAAGTGGCTGATTCTCACCTTGGATTAATGTTGAACTTGGATTGGTTCTAGCCTTATAAAGGCACTGTATATAGTATTGGTGCTATATGCAATTTATCACGTGATATCTGATTCAAACGTGAAAACCTACTGACTCTTGGCCTCTTACCTGGGCCAAGTGAAGTAAGTTTGCACAAAATAAATCATTATTTAGCACCGATCGTTGATGAATTGAAATCTCTTTGGGATGGAATAACTATAGATAAAACATATGAATTTCAAGAAGGAAGGACCATTCGTGCAACTCTAATTCTTGTTTCATGTGATATACCAGCCGCTAGAAAAATATGTGGTCATGTTTCAGCCTTAATATCATGTTATAGGTGTGAGAAGCAAGCAAATTATAAAAATTGGCAGCATAATTTTGCCAGTATAGATGATTTTGATGATTGGTTCTTCATGCGAGATCTAACTGAACATTGTCAAAATGCTTTAGAATGGAGATATTGCAATTCTAATGCTTTACAAAAGCGATTTATAAAACAAACTGGTGTAAGATGGTCTGAATTATTGCGATTACCATATTTTGACCCTATTAGATTTATTACAATCGACCCAATGCATTGCTTATTTTTAGAAATTGCACAATGGATAATAAAACAAATTTGGATCGATGGGGGAATTTTAACATCAAATGCTCTGAAAAAAATTCAGAAAAAAATGAATGAGTTTCAGATTCCATCTGATTTAGGTCAAATTCCAGGTAAAATTCATGAAGGAGAAGGATTTTCTAATTTCACAGCCAATCAATAGCGAATATTTTTTACTGTTTATGCCACTGTATTACTTTGGAAGCATCTTCCGGCTGTAGATAAAAAGATTCTTACACATTTTGTGAGAATTTGCTTAATTTTAGTTAGCTGAATTATAGA